ATAAACGTTGTCCAGATCAATACTAAGCAACTCCGGCCATAAAAAAATCTTTAATTATCTCTCGATAGCGCAATCCATTCAACGTAACTGTTGCTTTAGCCTCATCTTTGGTTAAGATGATTTTTCGATGAAATTTTGGATCACTTTCGTGCAATTCAGGGACCCAATCAGCAAAGATACGACGTTGTTGATGATCGGTCGGCTTGAGATCTTGTGTTCATTTAACTTTCTAAGACCCCAAACTTTATGTAAAATACGGTTTAATGAGGTTTGGAAAATGTCCAATTTCAAGGAACGACGAAGAATACACAAGGCTGGGCTTTCTTCAATACTTTGGGCGACAGCAGCAATATTCTCAGTTGCTTTTAGACGGCGTGTTTTATTCTTCACATCCCTAACTTGTTCTAACAGCTCAATTTTTTCCACAAAAATGTATTGCGGTCCAGCGAGATGATTCACGACATCTTTTCTGCTAAAAAGCTAGGGGAGGATCTGTGACTATTGGACCATTTGGAACATATACCATTCGCTCAGTTGTCGCACTGGTAGCACTCATAAGTGAGGGAGTCAATCTGAGCTCGCTTGGCCGCATAAAACTCGTATACGATTGTGGTTTTCCACAGAATCACTTTAATAAACCAATTTGACTAGCTGCTTTCAGCATAGATCCTAAAGATAGTTTATTACACAGATGATGTTTCCCTTTTTATTTCGGGTCACAAGCCCAAAAGAAAAAAAATCACTATAAAGCCAGATAAAACGGAAGCTTCCATCCTCGCGAGCTAGACCCGCGTTCAAATGGTAAGAAACCCATACTTAATATGAAATCTTATAATATCCCCACCTTGGTAAAATATATCGAAGTTATTCGTGATAAAAGACTGATTCGGAGGGAACATATCGAAAGTAGAACCCGCAAAGTGCTCCGAATTCGGAATACCATCTGAAGGACCATTACATCAAAATCGGCTTACGATCCCAAATAGTGTAGTGGGTACCTGAAAATGTTGTGCAAGGTAATAAAATCTGTCATTATGAAGTCCAAAAGTTTGAGAACAAGCAGGAATCCAGTGAACAAACACTCACTGGAGAGCATAGAGAACCCTTGGTTTATGCACAAAGATGTAAAATGTGTAAAATAGTCGACCCCAGGGCAACACTGAAGATTCTGGAGCATAATCGAAGTAGCTCGCACCACTAATTAGCAATGGAACAGAACCTAGGATTTGTTATGACTACAGACGAAAATCTGCTGAGTGCTGAGCGTATTGTACAAAGCTGAGGTCCTGCACCAATTTGGGGCGTGAGCCATGAGGAACCTAGAGCTTATTCTGAGCCGCCTCTGAAATGCTGATGAATCTTATGAAGGTCTTTTTATATGTCACCGAGAGGCTAACTTTATTTAAAAAAAAAAGGATTTTCTATAATTTAGCATATGGGTCCAGCCAGTAACCATACCCGTGACCGTCCGCATTGCATGTGATGAGACATACACCCCTCATAGGCTAGGTAAAGCGGAACAGGATCGACTGAGTGCAGAGTATGCACAGCAGAAGATCAAATCCAAAATACACGATCGTCAGCCGAATGAGGCGTCATTTCTTTCATGATGACCCAAGCTCAGGTCTAAAGGGAGCTCTCTCAAACGGATCTCCTTCTGTGTATTAATTGTGGAATATAAGTTTTTACGTTCACTCTCTAAGAGAACTGTCGCTTCATTTTTGAGCCAAACTGCAAAATTAGTCTGTCTTGTGTGGACAATCAAGTTCAGTCGATTAAGTTCACAGCTGGTGGGGCTTTTGCTATTGTCTTCAATGCTTGGAGACAATCTTTTCTTTTCTTAAAATCTTTCACACTCCATTTGTCGCCTTGCAAGTTAAATATCAAAGTTTTTGTTGCTCTAAATGCCGGCAATTTTTATTTGTGCTTTCTTTGTCTTGAACTCTACTTAATTCAATGAATTATTTTTTTTTCGCAAGCCAAGTCCATTGCGAATTCTTCCATTCGGCACTCGACACTCGGCGTTCGCCTGGGTTCATTGCTGAGCTGCCGTTGACAAACTTTATAAATTAATTTTCAGCTTTTCAAAGCGCAACTCGACACATCGGCCTCTTCCGCTCGCCTTGGCTGTTGCCGTATGCACTAGTAAGTAGAAGTGCCTGTTCATCTGTTGCATTGTCCTTCTTTTGGAGTTTGTTCGTCTGTCTATCTGTTCGAGGGTCTGAAATGCATTTGTGCGTTTGGTGCGTAATTTTTGTTATTTTTTTTGTTTTGTTGTACTCAAGCTTATGCCAACGAAAACTTAAGTTTCTGGGCTGTGTTATATGGTTTTCTATATGTATAAGATGAGTGTGTGCGTGTGTTTTATTGTGTGGGTGCGTGTGCTTGCTGAGTGTGCGGCATTCCAAAGCTAACATTTGTCATCCGCCACTTGGCGATTCGCTTTATACGCAACTGACCCAACTGTGCACGAGTGTAAGCGCAGACATGAGCTTCAGTCTTTTTTTTATTTTTATTTTTCTATCTGTGTGACACCCAATTCAATACAAATTTTTTCCCGCCAAACACTCGGCGCGTTCCGTCGCCTGGTGGCGATTATGATCTGCTGACTTTTGGCATGCGCTGGAATTCTGTGCCGTAATTTCTCATGACAACACTTCAGCGTAATTGTTCGAGGCGCGTCTCGTTATTTATTTTGTTGCTGTTTCCCACTCCGCCATTGTTCTATTTGCTCTCATTTACTTTGAGTGCTGCAATACCAATTAAATACTAGTTAAATTAGTTGCGCTCTCTCTCTCTCTCTTTCCCTCTTTCCTCCCCTACGCTCGCCAGCCTCTAATGGAGTTTGCTTGGTAATTAAGCTAAAAATAAGTTGTTTCATTTACAAAGAAATTTAATTCTATTCACTGCAGGGAAAAAGTAATTGTTTGAAAATAAAAATTGTTAATAATTTATGAATTAGCATAAAATGCAACTAAATTAATTGGCATAATTTACATTTGTAATGAAAATGTGCTCAGTACTGAGGTAAGCTAAAAGGTTATACATTTCGTGGTTTCAAAGGTACAGCGCTTTTGCTGTAAGTGAAGCTGCAGCTGAATACTCCAATCTGTCTATTTCTCGACTTTCTCGAGAACCCCGACTTTCCTACGTCGCATCAGGGCAATAAATCCATAAAAAGTTCAGCTCACACAATAACAGAGACCAGCTGACCAGCCGTATATGTCGATCGGGCACTTGCACAAGAAGCTATGGACGGCGATTTTTAGAACAAAATTTTTTTAAGCGAGCAAGAAACATATCGCAATCGAGGCAATGATAACCGGCTTTCTTTTGCACTGTAGTTGAAGAACACGACTAAAACAAAATATGTGGTTTCCACAGGATGCTGCGACATGCCACACATCCCAAGCGAACTTGCCTTTTTTGCGTGAGAAATTTTCAGGTCGCGTAATATCTCGTCTTGTCGATGTCAATTGGCCACCGAGATCTTGCCATTTGACACTGTTGGACTTATTTTTGTGGAGCTTCGTGAAAGACCGTGTTAATGCGAATAAACCTTTAACTGTTGAGCACTTGAAAACCAACACACATTTGGCAGTTGTGGCTGAGATACCATCCAATATGTGGAGACGAGAAAGCGAAAGTTAGCTGAGGATATGTCAGATGAAATTCCACCACCAACGCAAACGGAAATTCACCATGTAATTCACCTCGGGTTTCGGCATAATTTACAGGCAGTACAAACATTCAGTGAATACCAAACTCCATATGGAACGATTACACCGTCCTTAAAGGCTATTTCTAAGTGTTTCCTAAGATTTCAGACCGGAAATTTTTCCGTAGAGGAGGAGTCCCGAAAATGCCGACCAAAATCTTCTACTGCTGACGTCACTGTAGCTCTGGTGAAGTCTACAGTTGACAAAAGAAATAGTGGCCATTGTATTGGGTGTGAATGTCGGGGCTGTATCATGAATATTTAGTAATCATCTAGGATATACAAAGAAATCTGTTCGATGGGTACCACGAATTTTAAATAAGTCCCAAAAACAGACTTGCGTACATTTTGCTCGATTTTTCCTCAGCAAATTCGAAAATGTTCAGTCTAGCAACTCAAGTAAAGTCGTTACAGGTGGCGAACCTTGGTTCTATAAGTACGATCCAGAAACCAAACAGCAGGAGCAAACCCAGCCGTAAAATTTAAGACACAAAAATCAGCAACAAAAGTAATGATGTCAGTGTACTTCAACCGATCTAAGGTCGTAGCTGTTATTCCACTGGAAAAGGGTCAGACGGTAACTGCGAAATGGTACACCGAAGAGTGCTTACCAACAGTTTTCAAAAACTTAATGGGAAACGGTAAGAAAGAGGCTTTGCGGCGCTACTTTTTACATCACGACAATGCGCCATCCAAAGCTGCTGAAGTAATGAGGAATTTTATTGCAATCTCTGGTATCGAAGGAACACGTCCAGCACCATATTCCCCGGTTTTAGCGCCTTGTAATTTGTGGTTATTTTTAAAAATTAATAAATAAATAAAAAAGAAAGGTCTTTAATAGCAACGAGGAGATAATACTGACTTGATAAGCTTAAAAAGCAAGATTTTGAATACTGTTTTCAGAAGTGGATCTATCGGCTTAAGAAATGCATTTATATCAATGGTCATTATTTAGAGAAGATAAAAAAGTACAAAAAATTACGAATAAATACAAAAATAATTTATTTTTCTCATCTGGTCAACTTACCGAACTTTTGTTAATCCCCTCGTAGGATTGGATGGATCTAAACTTGAAGAGGGTGTGGACGGTGGTTTACGAAAGTCTGCAGTGGAACTTACCTATAACTAAGCATACATTAGATAACATAAATAAATAGTTTAAATTGACAACTTAACATGACTTAACATAACGTAACATAAAAAATTAAACATACTTTAATTTTTCCGCCAAAATTCTAGACAGCTTTTCTCAATATTTTTTTTTTTTTATTTTTAATTGCAGATTCAATAAATCATGTCGACTTAAGCAACTTTATCAAATCGCACTAAAAGGTGAGTAATCCGCATAAGGGTACACTCATTGTGTATAGGTATGTTTGTATATCAAAGAAATTAAAATAAAGTCATAAGGCAACATGACATTGGATTATTATAGGGTCAGATGTGCAGTCTTATACTACTTGCTTTAAGTGAACTATCTGTTGTAAAAATCAACTCTCTAGCAGCGGTGGCGTTTGGTACAACAAAATAAATATTTTTGAGACTTATAGTAAGGTGTTTACAAAAAAAAAAAAAAAAAAAAAATATTGCTGAGTTAAAAATTAAGAAAAAAAATGAAATTAAATAAAGATCTCTAAATAGACATATTTTTTTTTTATCTTATTTCCCTTACAACGTTATTTGCTCATCATAACGAGAGAAAAACAGCAAACAAATTAAAGCGTGTTGCGAAAAATCCACTCAACTTCACATTTCTCGCGCACTTAACAAGCAAAATATTTTCATTGGCAAATTTTTCACGTCGAGATTTTTGTACTCAACAGAGCTTGCTGCGTGCACAAGTCAACATAAAAAAAAAAATACGTCTTATATACATGCATACAGACATAATATGAATGAGCCGAATACGCGCACTCATTCATCATTCTTCATTCACTGCCTTGCATCACGTATACGCCCTGTGGGCGCTGAATGAAAGACGCAATGCAATCGGCCATGAAAGTGTCTATTGATGGCACTTTTCATACATATGTATCTATATATAATACTACGATAAAAAGCTGATGGCTTATGCCCTTAGCTGTGAGCAATAAATCGCAAATTTAAAATGTAAAAAGTGGAGGGTGAGAAATTTATGATTGAAGCATTTGGAATGCCTGGTAGCTGGAAAAATTTTGAAATGCAAGGCAATATTTTTGTGTGTTTGTGTGTATATATTTTGGTATTGAATTAGTGTGTGAGTGAGGCAGTACGCAGTAAAATGATTTCGCTAATAAATTCCTGCACTCCCTCCACGCTTCCCGTGACACTGGGGAAATGCATTATTTAATTACATTTATCAAAAAAAAATTAAAAAAAAAAAATATGTTTGAATGAGTAAAGCAAACATGGTCAAGTTGTGAGTCTGTTGCTTCGTTCGGCTATCCTTGCAACCACTTGACCCAATAAATTGAAGTTCATTCATAAATTGCCGGCTGCAAATGCTTGGCGATTTCTGTGCTTCCCTATTGCTCTTCTCTCTCTCACTCCCTCACTCTCTTCTTATCCCCCCTCCTGCTCCTCTGACAGCTTCACAGTTAAATGATACACAACTGCGCACAGATTAAACTGAAAGAAAAAACTCGATGGGATTACGAATTTCCTAAAGTGTCAACGAATATAGGCGAGTTGTTGTTGGCTATATAACCTATGTAACGACAAAAGTAACATTTACGAGCTCAGTGCTTCGTCTGGCATAAATAGATTAAAATGCTTTCATGCCTCGCTGCCCACACCACAACACTTCACATCAACTACGAAAGGATGCCAGTTGGGGGTGAGTGATTGTGCCTCGTCCTGGTATGTACTGTACGACATCTTGTTACTCTTTTAGTTTTTTTATGTGTGTTGCCTTTGCATTTTGTTTTGTCTGGTTGTCTTGTCAGCAGACTGTCTGCAATCCGCAGCAAAATGTTCGTCTCTTTCCTATTTTCCATTTTTATTGCTCTTTTCACTACTCACGACATTGTTGTTTATGCCATTTAAGTATAACTTTTACTCTTTGCGTCATGTGCCCTATTAGTATTCTCTCTACTTTGTCTGGCCATAGTTTTGGCAAGTAGCTTAATTTTTACGCAACAATGCACACATAATATTCTCACTTATATTGCTTTCGTCATCTGTGCTGTGTTGTTGGTTGAGTTGTTGTTTGTGTCATTCCATTTTCATTTGTACAAGTATTCGGCTATATTCAGTCGCTTAATGTTAATTAGTTATTAGTGTCACACAGCAGGGATCTATCATTTGCATTTTGTGGCTTGTCTGCCAATTGAATTTTGTAGAGACTGGCAACGTTTGCTAAAGTTGTATTCAAGGAATAAATAGCAAAGTTGTTCTACTAACTTTTTTAGTTTTTATGTTCCAATTAATCTTTTATCATTTTGTTTATTTTTTATTTACTTTTTATATATTTTTGACATTTCAATTATTTTATTTTATTTTTTTATTTCATTAAATTTTTTTTTATTTCATTTTACCTTATTTTCTTTTATTTTATTTTATTTTATTTTATTTTATTTTATTTTATTTTATTTTATCTTATTTTATTTTACTTTATTTTATTTTATTTTGTGTTATTTTATATGAATTTATTTTATTTTATTTTATTTTTTTTTTTTAATTTTATTTAAAATATTATTTTATTTTATTTTTTCAATAATTTTTTTTTTGTTTTATTTAAATAAATTTTTTATTTTACTAATAATTATTTTATTTTATTTTATTTTATTTTGTTTTGTTTCATTTTCATTTTGTTTATTTTATTTCTTATTTTTTATTTTATTTTATATTGTTTTATTTTATTTCAAGTTTTTTTCGTTTTATTATATTTATATTAATTTTTTTTTTAATTTTATTATTTTTAGAAATAATTGGAGGTTTGTGACCGCTAAAGCGATTTTCACTTGAACACCACCTCCAATTTGTCGTGCGTGCCTTAAGCTTTTATTTCATGTTTTTGTGGGCATGACATTCCCCTCCAAGGGCAAACATTGCTAGAAAAAAGGAAAGTTTTCCGCTCTTAGAAGATTGTCTACATCGACAACTTATCAGCCTTAACCACGTAAAACCAATTTGAAGCCAGAGACGACTTATAGCAGACCGTCTCACAGAAACAAGAGGACCTACCTCCCTAAATATTCCAACTTAGTGATATTGGTTAGGTCCTATTTGGAACTAGCAAACGTAACATAAAATCAACAATCTTGCCTGAACGTGTGTATTTAGAGCTATAAGTTGGTCGACACAGGAATTCCTCGAAAATTTTTTGAAAAATTGGGCGGTATTCAAGACTATATCATATACTTTCATTGATTCAATTTTTGAGAGTTAGTGGCTATGCTGGTTGGTCATGTCGTTCCGATAGATGAAAGTTCGTTCTGCAAAATTCAAGGTATTTCTTACAGTAACTGCGGAAGAGCTCTACTCCGCTGGAAAGTTAAAGTAGGGAAGAACGTGTCCACGCTTGTGCCTCCAATCAGTGTTAAACAGTTAAAAGAAGAAATGATTGGCGCGTTATGAAGAAGATTAATCTGATCGTAAATCTTTTGGCAGTTGCTTAATTTTTCGTTGGCCGTTTGATGTTTCTACTTCGGCATTTCCTAGCCATGCTTTCTCTTCCAAGCGCGAGTAATATGTCTTCTTTAATCCCAACCTAGTCGATTCTAAGTAGACTGGAGTATGTTTCTGATATCTGGTGCTGTGGAAAAGCATACTTCAGCTACGTGCTGAATCAGTCGATCAGTCTCCGTGTAGAGTTTAAGCTCGCGAACTGTAGTGCTGCTTAGCATGTCCTTCTTTAAATTTAACTTGCAATTTATATTCTCCTGCTTTATCACTTCCATCGGCTGTCGGTACAAATCAGTGTCGTCATTCCTCTAATGCTTATAATTTATGACGAGCAGAGCAGAGGAAAAACTGATTTATATCAACATTAATGTGCTTTAATTTACTTCCTATATGCTTCCCATGGCTTTCGCCGTTGCTTCCACTTTTCTTTTTATACATACATATGCACACAACTACATACATACCCACGTATCATTACCATTCATTTCTATGTTCTCAGTTTTTTCCCGTTTTTTTTTTTTGTAAGTTTCTTTTTAAGCTTCATTTACGCTCTTCACTACTTAAATATCTGGAACATGGAGCTAAATGACGTTTACAGTTATGTATGCATATGTGTGTGTTTGTATATGTATATATGTGTATATGTATATATATGTGTTAGTCTGTGCTGTTAGTTTTTTCAGTAGCGGCAAATTGGCGGGTAAGTGCATTTACAATCCGATTTGTCACACACACACACACACACTCACCCGCACATCTACGAAAATATACGAAACGGAAATGAGTGATTTTTCATAATTTTATATTTTGTTATTTATGTATGTTGGGTACGCACTCGTATCTAGTTACCCATATGTGAATATAAGTGTGTATAACCCAGTGAACAATTCGTCCGGGGAACTAGATGATTAGACTCAGAATAAAACCATTAACCTCATTTTTGAAATAGTGAGATTTCATGAACCCGCCGAACCAAAAATAGCACCAAACAGTTACACGTTGGGGATGGAGAGGCTTTTGAGTAATAAATCTTGGGTTTTCTGAGCTCCAGATGGGACAGGTTAGCTTATTAACATAGCCACCGAGGTGGAAATGGGCCCCATCAGTCAAGATGATTTTTTGATGAAATCAAGACAATTTTCATGCATTTCAATTACCCGGCCGGCTTCAGTTCTTGTGTTAACAGAACTTTATAAGCCTTAAGACCCAAGTCTTTTTGCAAAATACGCTTTAATGACGTTTGTGGAGTGCCAGATTCCAAAAACAACGACTAGAAATGAACTAATCTGGATTTTCTTCATCACTTTGGACTACAGCAGCAATATTCTCTGTTATTTTTGAGCGACGTACGCGTGTTTTATTCTTCACATCACTAACTTGTACCAACAGCTCCATTTTACCACCAATCGTATCCGTATTGCGGTCCGACAAGCTGCTTCACGACGACCGAAAAATATTTCAGTTTTACGAACTGTCTTTGCCAGGTTCGCCCTATTTTTGTAGTAACTGTAATGCTTTGTTGGAGCTTGTGTCGTTTGTTTTAATTCTTAAATATCGAAAAATTTCAGCTTTAAAAGTGCAAAACCGAAATAACAGGCTGTTCAAGATAACCCCTCTTAATGGAGAACCCATTATTTGAGTTATGCTATTTGGAAAATTGGCAGTGCTTGCCCCATTCGAGTTTTTTCTTTTAATTTTGTATTAATTAAAACAAATAATTACATATT